TTGAGCTCTTATTAAGCACAAGCAGTATGTTAAGGATTTTACTTACAGTATTTCATTTTATTCCCATAACCATGGGGGTGGGGTAGAAACCATAACTTCACTGATTAGGAAACTAAGGTTTGAGGGATGAAGTGATTAGTCCAAGATCAGGGCTACATGAACTTTCTAGAGTTAACTAATATGTCATTTATTAGAGTCTGATTTAATTAAGGGAGTCTTGATTTTTGTAAAAAAAAAAACAAAAAAAAACCCCTTTCATTTCATAGTACATAAGCAGGGTCACATGGAGCTCTTCTAGAAGATTCCTAGAACTACAAAATCTTTCATTTCAGTGTGATTAATTCAGATAAGGAAAACTACATCTGCCATCTGTGATCTCAGGAGTGACATTAATTGTGCGTGAACCCCTTGACTTTGTGTTTGGGGAGTCCATCTAGCTGTAGAGGCGCATTCACACTGGAAGCAAACAATGAATTACGAACATAAGCTGTTATGTCATATGGTTTTGACTTAGTGAATGTGAGTTCGTGGGAAAGAGAGCTCAGAGTGGGCTGGAATACCCAGAGCAGATTAGAGAGAGACAGCAGCAGCTGTTAAACACACAGGCTCCGGAGACAGACCACCTGGGTTCAGAGCTGGCTCTGTCACTTGCTAACAACTGTGTGACCTTGAGGAGCCCGCCTACCTCTCTATACCTGAGTTTCTTTATCCTCTTTTTCTAAGTGGACATCATAATAACATTTCAAAATGTTGTCACAACTCTCTGCTTGACTGTCTTTTTTAGAAGTTGGGCTCACGCTCCTGGCAAGGAGCTGTCCCAGTTGGTTTTGCACAGTGGTAGTAGTGGCCTTTCCTGGCCGACACCGACATCTGAGCTGGAGAAGGAGCAGATCTGCAATCCTAGGGTTCCCATGACATTGTACACCATGGGGCGAACAATGAAACCTTGAGAACCCTGCAGTCCGAAATTCTCTCCTGATCTCCCGGAGTCTCTGTACTATAAAAGGAGCTGTTGCTATTTGAAAGCATCTTGAGACAAACAGAAAAAATGATTCTATGTCTGTCTGATTTCTTACTGAGAGCCAATCAAATCAGTGGTCTCTATTATTATAAGAATAGGTGATTAGTCATCCTCCCTCTGCCTGGATGCACAAATTGACCCCCTATGTACTAAGGAAATGAAATAATTATGTAACCTTAAAATAAGGGCTCAGTTCGTACCCTGTAAAGAGCTCAGGACAATGCCTGACATATGATTTGGGCTCAGTAAAAGCTAGATACCATCAGTAACAAGAATGGCAGTAGCAGCATGATTATCGCTCAAGTCCTCAACTGGTCCTTGAACAGAAGAAGGTGTTTTAAAGGAGCTGAAGGAGCAGGAAAAACACAGTAGCAGATTGGAGTACTCAGCTGAGCAGCAGCTGCTGCTCGTGGCCATTGGTGATGGGTTTGGAAAGCTGTAGTGTGCGCACAGAGCACAGCTAAGATATTATCCTCCCTGCCTGTGGACTCCAGTCCAGAAAGAAAAAAGATGTTGGGGGATGGTGAGGCATTCCAGTGTTCCGTTTGTTGGTTTGGTTTAAAGCAAAGATCCTCAACTTTGGCTTCACGTTGGAATGACAGGGGAGTTTTCAAAAATCCCACTGCAAGGTCCCAGCCCGGAGGTTCCCGTGGAAATGGTCTGGGTGTGGGCGGCCTGGGGTTTTGAACTCTCCACTGGTGATTCCAGCGTTCGGCGCAGGCAGCACACCACTGTTTGAGGGGGTGTCCCTTTGAGGGTCAGCCCTCCACCCAGTCTCTTCCTTTTCCTGCTGTTCCCCAGCCCGGCGTAGTGGCCAATGTTCTGGGCTGCCCACTTTGTCAGTGGTACTTTCATTTTGTGCTGGAGACAAAACAAAGTGTTTATGTGTTTGATTTATTCATTTGTAGCAGATATTCCTAGATCATATGTGCTTCTTCGAAAAGGAATTATGAACGATGATCTCTTGTGGAAACTACTGCTCACCATACTAAAGGGCTGCCTTCCTTTCCCCCTCCCCACTGCTGCAACATCTTCCCGCTCCCAGGGGCTCGGGGCACAAAAGAGTAGGATGCATGTGGTGTTCAGCTGTGGTCTCCGATGCAGCTGCCTGATGGCTGACAGGTTGCAAGGTCACGTGTCTGTCTCAGCTTTCTTGAAGCAGGGCTATTGGGTTCAGGGACCGAATGATAATGTAGTAATGAAACCTCAGCCACACTTTTTATTTGTTATTCCACAGCCGCTAATTTTCTTGTGCTGTAAATCACAGAGAAAAAAAAGATCAACAGGCAGAAATAGCATTGCTTCAGCAACAAGTCTCAGTGTTTGGAGGCTGTGAAGTGAATAATTAGAGCCTTCGTATTAAGCATTCATTATTTCGCCGGCCCCCGTTGGCCTGGCTTTGCATATCCAGCCTCGCTGTGCTGACATGGAGAGTGTCTGGGCATAACAGCCACAGTTCATCTCCTGACGGTCTCCGATTCCACACGCCCTGGCCTGGGGAAGGGGACAGATTGTATCTGGGGCATTCTGTGTGACCTGGGCACCCCAGGTGCTGTCACACGCTTTCTCTTTTTGTCTTCCCAACAAATGCTCTCCCTGCCAGGCTCTGGGTCATGTGATCACATGCATTGGGAGCCTGCTTCCTGGAGTTCTTTTCTAGGATTCCCTCCTGACCTTAAGTGAAACCTACTGTTTTCCAAAGAGGGATCGTGGCCGTGTATTCCCCAGGTGTCATACAGGAATATTGCTGGTATAAAATACAATGATAATTAACTTGCTCACGATGAACTTGACTCATGTTTCATCTTAATTTGTAACAGTGTAAGAGGGATGCTGCAGCAGTACCTGGTGAGATAGACATAATTTTGCATCGCTAGTCTTATGGTTAAATCCCAGTCCAGGCACTTCGTGTGTGTGTGTGTGTGTGTGTCTGGACAAGTAGTTGAATCTTTCTGCCTCTGTATCTTTATGAATAAAATTTGTCTAACCCTATTGCTACCTTAAAAGGTATTGGGAAGCTCAAATGAAATATTAGTATATGTGAGTGCTTCGTGAGTCTTAGCACAGCATAGTTGCTTTTTCTGTATTCCCCTGTGTTCTTTTGTCCACGTTCACACCGTTACTAGTTCTCCTTGATATTGTTTCTGTCACACTTCTGCTCATGTTGGAACACTGTCACCCTTCTCTTTGCCAGACTGTCGGCTCTTATTCATTGTGGTAGGTTGATTTGTTGCCACCAAAAGATTTGTCCAAGTCCTACCCCCTGGTACCTGTGAATGTGACCTGATTTGGGTGAAGGGTCTTTGCAGGCATAATTAAGGATCTCAGCTTGACTGGGTGGGCCTTAAAAATCCAATGGCAAGTGTCGGGGGTGGCACACAGGAGAAGGCATGTGAGGGCGGGAGGAGATGGGAGTTATTCTGCCACAAGCCAAGAGATGTTTGCAGTGCCGTAAACTGAAGGAAGCAAGGCAGGGTCTTTCCCTGGAGCCTTTGGGAGGGAGCAAGGTGCTGCTGACATCTAGATTTTACGCCTCTGGCATTTAGAACTCAGAGAAGAAATTTCTCCTTTTTTTGAACAACCAGGTTTGTGGTAGTATGTTACAGCAGCCACAGAAACCCAGTATACTCATCTCTTTTTTTTAAAAGATTTATTTATTTATTTTTAGAGAGGGAAGGGAGGAAGAAAGAGAGAGAGAAACATCAATGTGTGGTTGCTTGGGGCCATGGCCTGCAACCCAGGCATGTGCCCTGGCTGGGAATCGAACCTGCAATGCTTTGGTTCGCGGCCCACGCTAAATCCACTGAGTTATGCCAGCCAGGGAAGTATACTCATCTTTATTGGCTTGACTCCGGAGTCCTCTGCTCCTGGAATCTCTCCCACATTCCCAAGCCTCTCTGACATTCCCCTCCTCCGGTTCCTGTGGCATTCCTTACATCTGTCACTCTACTTGCACCTGCTTCTATAATTATCTATCAAGGAGGCTGTCTATCTCTGTGTCACCAAGGATGTGGTGGGGTTATGCTTTATTAATGTTTTCACCTGGCATATAGTAGCTTGATATATTTTTGTTTTATGCAAAATGAATTTCGCTCTCAAACTCTCTCTCATTTTTATTGTATCTCCCACCAGCCTATTGGCCTAGGCTGTCAGTGCTTGTAGGGGGACCAATCTGTCTAGCTTTTCATCTGTAGGCACCTTTCCTCTCTCTGCACACACTGCCCGTTAATAGTATTTCTGAAATACTATTCAGGCCCTTGTCTACCCAGAGACTCTCAGTGACTCTCCACCTCTTGCTTTCCAGTGCCTCCACTGGTCCCAAAGTATGTCCCCAGCTTTGGTTGTCACTACCCTTCTCTACGAATTTCTGCTTCAAGAAAACTAATCCATTCCCGTGTTTGTAGAGCATGCTTTACTAATGTAGAACCTTTGCTAGAAAACTGTGATGGCAGCAAAACCCTTCTCTTCATCACTGTTGGGATTTCCATAGCATCCTTTTCCCCTCATTGAAGAGAGTGATGTGTTTTCAACAGCATGTTTTTGCTCAGATTTACTTATGTGGGTATAAAAAACTTAGTCTCCAAAAATACTCCTGGGCTTTCTCTCTGTTGAAAGCATGAAGTAGCATAGTGGGAAGGGCATGGGAGCCCTGGTTTGAATCCTGCATCAGTTACTTGGTAGCTCTCTAACCTTGAGCCCCTTATTTAAATTCTCTAAGCATCAGATTCAACAGCTCTGAAATGGAAATGACAAAAGGACTTTGTAAGGTTCTTGAGGGTGGAATGCAGTCATCATAATCATTATTTATTGGAAATGGTGTGTGTCGGGGAAGACTGAAATGGTGCAGTGAGGTTAACTTATCACAGTCAATTGAGAGAGAATCAAATTGTAAAAGCTACGTTGGCTTGAATGCAGGGTGTGTTCTAATTGATTCTGTGTTTCTTAAGGGAAATCATTTCCATTGCTTAATTCTTTGCAGAATAACGGGACCACTGAGCATCAGGTGGAGTCTTTCATAAGGAAAAAACTGGAGTCCCTGTTAAAAGAATCTCAAATTCGAGACAAAGAAGATCCTGATAGTTTCACAGTGAGGGCACTACTGAAGGCCACGCACGAAGGCTTAAATGCACACCTGAAGGAGGTACACTCTTCCCTCTCGTCCTTGTCCTTTGACAGGAAAAAGAAAGCACATCATATGTTGTTTCTGATCATCTGTCATTTGTGAAATGTGTCTCCAGTTTCTTCCATTTCTGCCTTCCTGTTGTTTGAGAAATAAGAATGTCCTATTGCAAAATGATGTGAGGAATAGTTAAAAGTGGATGGGTGGGGGCGAAAGTGACAGTAGAAAGCCTGGTGCCCCTGCACTTGGCTTCCTCGTGAGCGCCCAGGCAAGTGGGGAGGCTGGAGCCTGCCACATAGTGCCACCTCCCACCGCTCCGCGTTGGGCCGGCCTCTTCGCCCCGTTGACTGCACTTCCTGCTCGTGTCTCCTGTCTGTCCACTTTTCTTCTTCTTCATGGCTGTGTCCCAATGTAGGCCAAGGTCAGTTCTCACCTAGACTTCTCTTGCCCTTCTTCTCTTTAATTTCCACTCTGAAATCAGCATGATTCTTTAAAAATGCAAATCGCACCCTGAGACTTTATTGTCTAGAATTCTTTGGTGGTGCTTCCCACTGTGTTTGGGATGAATTCTGAACTCTTCCGACCAGGTTTTTCAAGGACCTGCATCTGTGCATCCTTGCCTGTCTCTCCAGTCTCAGATCTCTTCATTTTCCCTGTCACACCGCTTCCCACCGTTGTCACACCAGCTGTAGCTGTTTATGTGCCATGGTCTTCCTCTCATTACATTTCCTCTGCCTGTAATACTCCATTCCTACATGTGTTCCAACTGCTGCTCTGTTCAACTTCAGCTTTGGTGTGATGTCTTGAGTCCTGCCTTGACTGCTGGATTAGATCAGCTATCCCCTTATATTGCCCACAGTAACCTGTTTTATCTTCTCTTTTCTGAAGTTTTTAAAACACATTTGTAATGATTTGTTCAATGTCTGTCTACCCAAATAGACTAAAAATTCCATGAAGATAGGAACCGTGTCTTCTTGATAACCATTTTTGTGCTGGCTTGTCTACTGAGACCTTCATAAATAGTCATTGAATGAATGGCTTGGGGGAGGACTATTGTATATTACCCTTCCGCATAAAGCTGGAGCGGGAGGGTGCTGAGCCAGCAAGGAGACTTGGTGCTACGCAGAATCCCTGTTTGATCGCTGGCTAGCTTTCTAACTTGGGACATAGTATTTAACTTCATTATAGTTCAGATTTTTAAATAAAATTGGGATTTTAATCCTACTTGTCTCCAAAGACATTGGTACGTATTAAATGAGAATAGATGTAATGCACTTAGCATAATCCTCGGGGGGAATAGTAGGTGCCTATCAAATAGGATGACTATATACCTCACCTTGCATGGGACAGCCCTACTTTATACCTATTTTCCTGGTGTAATTATTAAAAGTATTCCATTTTACTCTTAAATGGATGCTATTTTGGGCAGTAAGTGACATGATCCCCCTAACAATAGAAGGGCAATTAGAAGTAGAAAGGAATTCATTGGTTCATTCCTCCCCCCATTTCACAGGTAAGAAAACTGAGGTCAGAAGAACCGGCTTGCCAAAGGACATGTAGCTACTTGGTGGCGGAACTGGGTCTCCTAACTTGGAGAGCAGTGTTACTTCTATGACCCCAGCTGGCTACCTTCTTAATTTCAGGGTTTTTGAACAGTTAATGATCAGCTTTAATAGATCTTCAAAGGCAATCAATACATATAAACAGTCACCTAAAATTACCCAGTAACCCCGTGGCCCTCCAGCATTTCCGGAACTGCCTCTTTCTCCAACTAATTTTCAGCTTCCCCAGTCCCCACCCAAAATGGCATCTCTGATTAGCCTCTATGGATATTTGCAGATGCCCTCTCTGGCCTTTGGGTTTTAAGTGGTTTTGCTTACCCACATTCACACCATTTATGTGGTTATATCTGCTTCTTCTCAGTTTAGCAAGAAGTCCTGGGAGAGCAAGGCCTGCTGTGCTGGTCTCTCCCTAACCCATGTCATTAGTACGTATTTTGGGGTTTGATAACTAAATGAAAGTCTAAGCCCTTTTAGCAGAGTGGCCCTTCTGTACCCTAATGAGAGACAGGCTTGAGCAAGGAGATCTCTAGCCTAGAAGATTAACCCACATGAGGAAGAAACTTCTGAGGCTCCCATACATCTGTCCAGTGCTCGCCGCAGAGGGCACTGTGACGATGAACAGAGAGACTTTGCTTCGGTTTGCTCAAAAACAGTCTTGTTACCGCATATGTGTGCTTGGGTTTTATCTATGTTTAATGTTTTAAAATTCTAAATAATAGTATTTGATCAATGTCGTTCCTTTTTTAATTCAGTAGAATTGGCTCTTAGTGATTATTTGCCCTTTTTAAAAATTAAATCTACTTTTAATTGAAGGTGATTTTATCCCCACTCATGGTGTTTGAAAGAATACATCCCGCGTGGTGGAGAGCCTTGTGAGCAGTCACTGGCCAGGCCGCTGAGGGGCCCTGGGTCCCAGCTTCGGGAACTGTGGGCTGTTCCTGTCTCCTGGCCAGTGCCCAGACCCTCCTCGCCATTGTCCCCTTTCAAGGCAGACTCAGCCACCTTTGGGAACCTCTTGCTTCCTACCTAGAGGTGGACACAGAGAGGGTTTGCCTGCCGTTTCATCAGAACTAAGGAAAGAATAAAATAAAGATGAAAAATAGTTACATTATGCTTTATTTGCTCAGCATCCAGATGTGAAGGAAGGTGGAAAGAAATCACATGGACGATCCCTCATGACCAACTTCGGAAAACATAAGGTATGAGTTAAGATTGATAAATGGGAGGGAGGCTGAAGGGAAATAATGATGGAGAGCAGGAGAGGGGTTGAGGGGAAATGACGATGGAGAATAAGAGGGGAAAAAAGATTGATAAATGTGTGTAATTCAATTAAGTTAAATTAAGTTTGAAAGGTAATGGCAGAGTATCTTCATGACCTTGGGGTAACTGAAGATTTCTTAAATAGGATTCCAGAAAAGGAAAAAGTTGATAATTAAACTACTTGGGAATTTAGGAATTACTGTTCATCAAAAGTATCAAAAACCAAGTAGCATACTGGCAAAGAATATTTCCAATACATACATTCAACAAAGGTCTTGTGTCCTGACGATATAAAGAATTCCTACACATCAACAAAAAAGAAAGATGCCCTAAATTAACAAAAATAGGCGAAGACTTTAATTTCATTTCACAAAAGAAGATATTCAAGTGGATGGAAAAGGAGTTCACCTTTATCAGTCCTCTGGGAAGTGCAAATTAAAATGAGGTTCCATCCAGACCCACCGCAATTGCAAACATAAAAAAACCGAGAACACCAAGTGTTAGTGAGGATGCTGAGCAAGTGAAACTCTCATACACTGCTAATGGAATGTGCACTCGTAATTGTACAAATAGGAAATAGTTTAAATATCCATCAGAAACAGAATGAATTAAAATTTACATAAAGGAATATTTATCAGCAATGCGAAAAATGACAACATTACAACTGTCTACAATAATGTGATCTTTGTAAACATGACATTGAGCAAAAGAAGCCAGACCTAAGAAAGTACATCCAGTTCAATTCTATTTATATGAAGTTGAAGAACAGGCAAAACAGAATCTATAGGGTGAAATCAGACCAGTAGTTACCTTTGGGGAAAAGGGAGTGACTGAGTGGAAAAACCCAAGGGCTTTGTGGGGGCGTATAATATTCCACTTCCTCATCTGGTGTTTCATTTTGGGTAAAGTCGTCATGCTGTGCACTTATAATTGTTGTACTTTTCTAACAACATGTTACTCTTCCATGAAAGGGTAAAACATGTTACATATGTAATCAATTATTGGATGGTTAAGATTATGCAGGAAGTTTCTGTAGGGCCATTTCCTGTATTTTAAGGAATGTTGTACCTGGAATTTCCTGCCCCATCAACAAGATAATTTATTAAAGGGCTCACAAGACAGTCATTATAACAAAAAATTGAAAACAACCAAAATTTTCACCCATAAAGACTACTTAAGTGAACCATGATTCATTCACATGATGGGCAATTATGCAGCCATTTAAAGATGGTCACTCTGAAGAGCTCATCAAGTGGAACATTAAGTGAAAAAGTAAAATGAGAAATTGATTATATGATACATTAAGATTGATAAAACTATCTGTAAAGAAAATATATTATTTTCTCAAACATTATTTGCCATTGGTAATTCATCTCTTATTTCTTTTTGCATTTTATATTAAAAAATAAACTTTAAAAAGACAGATTTATTGTAACACCTCAAATTACTAATTATGTGAAGAATTAGAGGATATTTTATGTCTTTATTATAACTACTGATTTAAATTAAAATTATTTTCCAAAGTAAACCTTTTTGGCTGTACTTTAGCTACTGTAGAAATAGAATTTACTATGCCCAAGTCATAAGAATGAATGCCCACAAGGTAAGCTATAGACTATTTTAATAAATATTTATAGTATTGTAAATTGAAAGTTAAATATGATCTAGCTGACAGAATAGCTTTCCATGCCATCTCATTTAATCACCACAACAGCAATAATCCTTTCAAATAGATATTATCGTCCTGCCCATTTAAGAAACACGCTGGGGAGCTAGAGAGGTTAGACCACTTACCAGCTTGGTGGGAAGCCAAGCTGGAACATGAGATCATCATAAGCTAGGGTTCCCACACCAGGCACTGAGGTTTGTGAGTCAAAAATAACTCCCGAAATGCTTCCAGACGAAATTGATGCCTCATTGTGAGTGCAGTAGTCGAGTGTGCGCATGTCAACAGTGTAGTTTGTGTTTTATTTGTTGAGTATGAGAAAATCTGAAAGGTGACATGGCCCAATGGTAATGTGAGGATGGAGTTCCTTTCCTTTTTTAAAGCTCCATTCCCCCAATGTCCAGGGTACTCTGTCTAACCGTCTCACCTTTGCTGGTGGAAGCTGTATTTTTGGTGGCAAGGTTTTCTGCAATTTCCTTCCCATTATTTGTATTGTCGAGGTATGTGTTGACAAATATTGGGGTCATCTCCAATGTGGTGGGGGTGAAACCTCATCATTCCAAAAAGGTTTTATGTCTAACAGCTGATCTGGCCGGAAGACACCAGATTAGTCCTGCAGCCTTTCAGTCTGAATCCTGTGGATAACAATTTTATTCTGCTGCCAGAAATTAAAATGGGTCAAAACCTCAAAAGACCTGTTTGATATAGATGGTTATTTGAGTGCATATTGATCACAAGGAGGCATGGTAGTTAATTATTAAAAAATCACTACTAGCTTTTTAAAAAACAAAACCTGCCTTTTATAAGTCAACAGGAATAGTGAGCTTCCTAAAAGAAGACATTTTATTCCTTATTATTATTAAACACATGTTACAATGTTGACCCTACTCCTCCTGGAGACCTCCAATGCATGACTAATAGTGCTTTTCTGAGACCTCCATTTTATGTAGCTTAGAAGTCAGTTCTACAGTATGAAATCCTAGGTGTTGCCTTAATAATTATAATTATGGCCATAGCCATGCTTGTTATTAATGGCGAGGCAAGCTGCAATATTTGGTCATTTTCCCCCCTCCAAGTTCTTGTCCTTGTGGGTGTGTATTTTAAAGCCCAGTCTACTCTCTGTATGTTGTAGATGTACCTCGTGTACTGAGTTTGTTGTTAAGTTCACTGCAATTTTTTTTCTGGCAGAAAACTACAAAATCACGGCCTAAATCTTACAGTGCTGATGAGGAGGAGGATGCACAGCAGAATTCTGGCAAGGAGCCTGGCCAACTGTGCAGGTAAGACAGTGTCTCGTGTTTCTTGCTCCGATTCTCTGGCCCCTTGATCCCCAGCTGCTTGGCTGTTTTCATTGTATGTGCCTAGAGAATTGGATTGGTCACAAGGTCAAGTGCTCAGTGCCGCGGGACCTAGGAAGATCCACTGGATGTGAGATGATAATATAGGTAGGAGGCTTCTACAGTGCCTGGCACATAGTGAGCTCTTAATAAACGCTAGCTCTGGCAGTTATCAGGTAAAAGGTATTTTCAGAGAAGACAGGGTGGACACATGGACTAGTAGGGCTCACATAGGAGCCCAAATGGAAAGACAGATGATCAGCCCATGTTAAGATCCAGAGATTGAAATCAGCCAGACTTCAAACTCTTATTCCTTCAACCTTAACATGGGACAAGTTAGGCTTCTCAGCTGTATGTTTCTTAGGGTCATTGTAAGGATTAAGTGAATTAAACTAAGCCTGATAAGCTTTCCCTCAATTAATTAACTGCACAAAAAGTTAACTTTTTTTTATTATTGTCAATAGAATTTGGGATGAGTAAAATGACCATATTTTTAGAACCCAAGTTGTGACACATGACCTGATGTAGGATTTTCTGGCAGTTTATGTATACAGTAAGTCTCACAAAGGAGTGTAAATTATATCACAGCTTTTAGACAAACACATGCATGTACATACATGTGCACACACAAACATCCGCCATTCCTGTGCCTTTATCGAATGATTGAAATTAAATGAAATTAGAGGCATAAAGCTTCTGTACAAATGGATGGCATATAGTGGTTAATTAAATTTTATATTTGAGATTCACTTCAACAGAATGCCCATGCATGAAATAGTAACTAATTAGTAGGGGCAGAGGGAATGCGCACAGTCCCTACCCTTGGGGTACAGAAAATTCAATTTGTAGTTACAGTAAAAATATAAGAGAAACAGATTATCTTCCAGGAGATCTCTGCTGTGCCTGTTTTCAAATACAGGTTTGAGAAAAGCTCAACTCTGAATCACAGAGCCAGAGAAGGGACAGTGTAAGAAAAGCCATGGTAATCTCAATGTGTACAAATGAGACACTAATACTATCACATGAGATCATATTGCTTGCCACTCTTGAGTTAGGGATTTATCCATAATAGGTATCAAAGCTTAAGCATCTATAATACTGTCCTGTTGTAACTACAATAAACCAATCCACTCCCAGGATAAAGGTTAAGAACAGCTAACTTTATGCAGAATTTCTCTGTCACAGAGTGTCTTGGAGTTTTACTTGTAATTTCTAGGCATGACCTCACATTGATTTATAATCATTAACTGTCACAGTACCAGATTTTCAGCAATGACTATAGAATTTCCTAATTATTTGGTAAGGGAAGAACGTGAATGCTTCTCATTTATTTTTAATACCTAAGTTCATGACTTCTTTCTTGGCAAAATGAATTGTTGGTGCATTTTGGCCTTAATTCTTTTATTGAATTATGTGTCATTAGAGTAAGGATTTTTGTCTGATTTGTTTACTACTTTATCTCTAATAGGTGCTTGATGAATATTCATTGAGTCAATAAATCAGTATCATTACTATCTAATTCTAGAACATTTCATCACACCAGAAGAAACTACCGTTAGCAGCCATTCCCCATCTTTCCCTCCCTTGGTCTCTGGCACCAGCCAATCTACTTTCTGTCTATAGATTTGCCTTTTGGGACATTTCATATAAATGGAGTCATACAGTATTTGGTCTTTTGTGTGTGGCTCCTTTCACTTAATATGTTTTCAAGATTCATCCATGTATCAGTACTTAATTACTTATTACTGTTGAATAACATTCTATTGTATGGCTATGCTTTATTTCATTCATCTATCATTAGTTGAAGGACATTTAGGTCATTTTCACTTTTGGCTGATATGAATAATGCTGTCATGAACATTCATGTATACGTTTTTATGTAGATATATGTTGTTTTTTTCTCTTGGGTATATATACTTAGAAGTGGAATTGTTGAGTCATAAGGTAACTCTGTTTAACTTATTAAAGAACTGCAAATCTATCTTGGCAAAGCACTTGAACCACTTTATATTCCCCAGCCATGTGTGAGGGTTCCAGTTTCTCATCAACCTTGCCAACACGTGCCCTCGCCTGCCCTTTTGGTTATAGCCATCCCCATAGGTGTGAAGAAGTATCTCATTTGTAGTTTTGATGTGCATTTTCCTAATGACTAGCAATGTTGAGCATCTTTTCATGTTCTTATTGCCCATGTGTCTTTGGGTAGGATTAGGGTTTTTGTTAGATGTTCCCCTGGAGAAGAAAAGTGTGTATATGAGGAGAATGTGGAGCACTTTATTGTGGAAAAGAGTAGTGGTAGAATTTGTAAAGTTGTAGAGGAGATCCTAGGAGTGGTTTATAGAAGAGAGAACAAAGTATTGGATGTTTGTTTTAATAAGTTGAAGAATATTAAAAAAAGCATATAGAAAAAAATTAAAATCACTTGCAATCACACCTCTAAAAGATAAGTACTATGGAAATTTTAGTGTATTTCCCTTTAGATATATAATTCTTGTGGCCCACAATACAATGGTTTTACTCCTTTCGTTTACTCCTTTTACCAAAGCAGAGTAGATTCCTGGTGAACTCTGGTGCTATTCCTAGCTGGGTAAGACTGAGAATCAAGCCTTCCACAACAGAACTCACAAATACATGAGAAAAGACTGGTTGTGAATGAACTATGAATAAGACCATATGTATAGATAGGGTTTTGTAGTGGAAAGAGTGCTGAACTACGAAACACACTTGGGGTTCTAATCCTGGCTCCATTAGGAGCAGCGAGGGAAGGCAGAGTAAACAAAGACCCAACTTCTTCCAGGTCTCAGACGTCATGCGTCCCGGGGTGTGTCTCTCACAGGTTGGGCCGCCGGAGGAAAACCGTGAAGCTCTGCCGAGAGCTCTCAGACTTAGTGGTGTACACGAACTCGGTGGCCGCCCAGGACATTGTGGATGATGGTAAGGACCGAGCTGTTTTCTTTTCCTGGATAAATGTTCTTGACCTTTGCTTTGGCCAAAAGTTAATTAATCTTTTTTTTAATCAGGTCATCAGCAAACATTTCTGGAACTGGGTACAGTCCAGCCCAAGTTGTCAGGAAGCTGCTGGTACAGAGCTTTTAGCTCACAGGGAGGGCTCTGTCAATCACTGAGGTTGCCTGATGTTGTAGGGTCAGAGAAATTGTCTACAGGCCAGAGGAGGACTTTATTATAAAAAAGCCAAGTGCGTCAGAGCAAGGATTTCCCCCACGCTTGAACTGTGGAGGCCAGGCCTGGTTCGATAGCTGTTCTCCGTGTGAAGGACCAGAGAAGAGAAGGAACCGGTTGGTTCACATAACACCTTAAAAAGCCCTGTATTTTCTCGTCGGCAATTTTGGCTTTGATGAAAATGATTTAATCCAAAGATTGAGGTTTTAACAAAAAAAGAACAAAAATTTCAGAAGCACTGAATCTTTTAATGATTTTTACCTGTGAATTGCCATGGATTGAATCGAGAAATTCTAATCACAACTGTTCTCACCCTGGACTTGTCTGCCAGTTGCTCTTTTTCCCTTTGTTCACTATCCAGTTAATGAATGTTTATAGAAATAAACTGTGGTCCTATGGCTTTTCAATCTGCTTTCAATGTTAGCAGAAATTAAATGCAAATCAGAATATTCCGTTTTCTCGACAAGTCGTCCTGAAGGGGAGACCGCACTGCGGTGCGTCTCCTGCCCTCACAACCCTCCTTGACTCCTCCTCCAACGCAACAGGTGCATCCCTTTGGATCTGCAGATTCTCTTCCTTTGATACTGATTTCTTCTTCGAATATAACAATTACAAAAATTTAAATGAATTTCACATGTGAGATCATGGCAAACTGTAGGATTCTCAGCACATAAACAACACATTTTGTAATAACTGCCTACAGCTAGAAAATAAGCTCAGGTGTATTTGATTTAGAGAAATATAATTGCTAACAACTGCCTTAGGAAACCATAATCCTATTAGCTTAATGAAAAAATGATAGTATTATTTAGCTCTTGTACTTTAGCTGTTTTTGTCTTTTGTGCAGTGTTTTTTAGCCTTAAAATGAATAATAGATAATGAATGCATGGCTTATTCTAATGCAGAGCAACTCAACTCTACCAGTATATTAATTGACATGTGCCTAATTATCAAGGCCATCTTAATGACAATGTGGTATGCATATTTATGTGGGGAGATAGCAAACAGTGTTAGCAATTCCAGTACTACATTGTCTGCATGTGACTTATCAAAGATTGTACATTTCTCCTATCACGTTTGAAGTGTTCAAAATCCTAAAATAAGATCATTTGTAGAATACTTGGGATGTGAACTGTTAATAAGTTAATGTCAACAAAATATATGTGATCAAGAGTTTATATGAGGCATGTCAGACTAAAAACTAATTCTTTAATTTCTTTGCCTCTCACCTGTATTTATGACTGTTCCAAGTTCCAGCTCTAGAGTGTAGTTGTTGGTCATTTGGTCAGCATTCAATATCTAAGGGTGTACAACCCTGAGGACAGTGGTGTGCGTGGGACACTGTGTGCTCTAATTAACGTGCACGGTCTGGATAAAATTAGGGTCAGCTGGCCCAGCCAGACTGTATATAGCTCTGCCCCTTCATGGGCCACGTCCCTCAGTCTGAGTTCAGACACACTCAGCTGTTACAGTGCACTTTGGAATGAAAACCAGCTCTGAGCAGCTTGGGTCTTTATCTAGACCTGTGCTAACAGGTCCAGGAGACATGTGTGGTGGTTTTGGGGTGTGGTGTGGATGTTTGGGTTAGGGTGGGAATAGTGGGATGTCATAGAAATGATGCAAAAGATGGGTTTGGGGAATAAGGGCAGGATATTAAATGTTTGGAGATTTACTCCATCAGGACTCCGAATTGCAGTTTCCTTGGCCCTCCTGATGATGGTCCAAGCAGAAATTTTAAAATATACTTCCTGTTTGTTTTCTTTCCTCTATTTTTTTCATTGTTTCTAATCCTGGGTAGGTAGATGCTTGTTCTTGTTTCTGAAACTTTTTTTCTTTATAATGCTCCTTTGAACTCTTTCTCTGTTATTTTTCCTTTCTCCCAAACATGTTTTAACTAGTTCCATGATTCTTTTCAAATTAACTTTAAAATTCCATTTTTCTTTTTTGGAATTCTTTGTTGTTTTTTTTTAGGTCTAAATGCTCTCAGTTACTATGTGTTTCTCATGCGTGCTTTTTATGTATTTATTTTAAATATATAATCTTTATTATATTTTTCCCATTACCATTTAGTCCCCTAATACCTGCCTCTTCCCAACACATGTGTGCTTTTTAGATGAATGCTTTTAAGGAATGTCTCCTGTTATCAGGACTAAGTCACAAGATAGTTTTATTTTTATTTATCCATGGCTGCCTGTATCTTTGGCAAGGATGTTCTGTTTGAATTATACACTTAAAATTTTTTACTGCCCGCCCCGTTCATACCAGTCACATAGACATGAATTAGTGAGATGGTTGAACTCTTGGGAGAACATGGGACCTCGAAATACAGTTATTCTAGCACAGCTCATGTGTGCTAGATGTGCTCTTGCCTCAGAATGGCAAGAGAGCCCCAAGAGTGGAATTATATGGGTCTTTCTTGGTCCAGAGCTGCCTCTACCCTTTTCTGTGGGTATAATCTGGTATGTTGTAAGATCCTTTGTAAGTGTTTTCTTTTCCTCTCTGTAGTTCTCACTTCTTTTTTTCTTTATTAAAAATTGCCAGGAACCACAGGAAATGTGTTATCATTCAGTGAAACAAGAGCTCATCAAGTGGTTCAGCAGAAATCAGAGCAGTTCATGGTGTATAACCAGAAGCAGCTGACCAGGATTTACCCCTCCGCCTACCGCATCGACTCCAGCAATTTCAACCCTCTGCCCTACTGGAACGCAGGCTGCCAGCTTGGTGTGTATGCCTCGGGAAGGCGCGGTTCTCTGTTGTCTTGAGTCTATGCGGACATTGTGCCTAATTCTCTCACACTTTGAACTTGCACAGTGGCACTGAACTACCAGTCTGAAGGGCGAATCATGCAGTTAAATCGAGCCAAATTCAAGACAAATGGCAACTGTGGCTATGTCCTGAAGCCCCAGCAGATGTGCAGAGGTATGTGTTAATTTCACAGTCATGTATCTGAATGCAGGTGACCTCTATCAAAGGTGCTTTCTGGAAAGTGTGATACCCCAGTGTTTTACAACATGATTAAAAAAGGAGAGATAGGTTAAGGTGTTGGAATATAAATTAAAACCCTTGTCACGCTCTAATGTTTAAAATGTTCTCTCCCGAGGTTATGCACATGAAGAAGGTCGGGGTCCAGTGGATTGTCATCTGCAATCCAGTGCCCAGCACGATACTCCCTGGGCATTGCTTATAAACCAGCCTGTCTTCTAAGACTGAAGCCCTTTCAGAAACTTTCTTAGTGGCAAAATCAAAATACCCCCTGAAACAATTTTATGAAGCCCTTTTTAGTTAGTATGGTCCAATGATAAAACAAAGGCTAACAAATAACAAAAGATAATGCACTGTTAGATTTAAAAAAACAAACAAGGTGGGTCTTTCTTTCTTTCTTTTTTTTTTTTGGTTCCATTCACTAAAATTCTCTTAAAGTTTTGCAAAATGGGTTTTTAACAATTCAGATAAAAATGTGTTGACAGGTGTGTCTTCAGGATTTTCTTTTTTGCTTTGCATGTTTTCTTGCTCTGCTTTTTACTGGTACTAAATTTCAGATTCTCTGTCTGTTATATTCACTCTACAGCCAAGATTATTTAAGTTAGAAAATGATTTAAACCTGACATGACTGCTCCCTTTCTCTATCCCATTGACATTCAAATAAAATGCTCCTCTCCCCTCTATGCCACGGTTGATAATTGCATTTCAGGCCCTTGCTTTAAATTGGCCCATTCCTCTGCCTTTGGGAGCATGGATTCGAACAAAAACCACAGCGATGGAAATGCCGGCTGGCATTGCCTTCACGCAGAAGCCACACTGATAGTTATGTGCTAATCTCTTCACTCTAAGAAATGCTGTAGTCAGTCAGCATTTGTTATTTCTTTGTTCCCCAAGCTTTAGCAGTGTGTATGTATGTTTCTATGCTACTAACCTTAGATTTTCACATCGGCTTAGGTACTTTCAACCCTTTCTCTGGTGATCCCCTTCCTGCGAACCCCAAAAAGCAGCTCATCCTGAAAGTGATCAGTGGACAGCAACTCCCCAAACCTCCCGACTCCATGCTTGGAGACCGAGGAGAGGTAAGCCACGTGTGACTCAGTGGTTAGTTATGTGATTATTTTATTTATTGTCTTCACATTTCATCCAAAATGTCAGCTCTGTGTGTGTGTGTGTGTGTGTGTTCATAAATGAGCACTGGCTCAGCTCACCCGATATTAACCAGCCTATAGACAAAGCACACAGCCCTCCTGGACCTCAGTGCATTGTCTGTGTTGGAGGCATGCGTGAATGCAATTCAATTTATTATTCAAGACAGGCACTGGTAATGCTAACACTGGGGTGCAAAGAACAATTTCATTATTGATAGAAATACTTCATAAGAGTACATCTTAACTTTCCATCCACATTCCTCATCCCCTCATGTGTGCTGCACATCAGCCACCTGCTTCTGGCCACGTGCTGACTCTTGTCATTACTTGCTGCACCTCTGTAGCATGATTTTAAAATGTTTCCCTCTGTAACCACAGCATCCTGTCTTCCCAGAGCGTTTACTCCATTGCTTCCACTACACCTGATCTTGGCCTTTTTGGCCTCAATTCTCTCCCTGTATGCGTGTCCTTCCTCTCAGGTGTGGCCCATCACTTCAGGCTCTTTGCCACTCTTACCTGTGACACCATGGTTTCTGGGTCTTGAATGTTGATGGGAGAAACCATGCTGCTCTGCAGTGAGGTGTTACCATGAACTCGCTGTCTCAGCGCTCAGTGGGCCTTGAGTGCTGTGCTGCTGTCTCTGCAGCACCCGGCCAGCCCACTGTCCTGCTCTCTGCAGTGGCCCTTTCCACCCTTCTCTCTCTGCAAACGTCTGTTCTTACCACTTTCTTTCTCACCTTCCATAGATGGCTCGTAGCCTACTCCTCAGAAGGCGGGAGCTTCAGACGGGACCATTTCTTCCTTGTCTGTTGTCTCCAGCCTAACCCAAGCCACTGTCATCTCGTCAGTTCTGATGGTGTCGCCTCCCAGTGGGCTGGCTGCCCTGCTTCCATTCTGTTCTCCCAGCGTTGAGAATAATTGTTTTGGTAGAATCAGAAAGTTCCTCCTTGATTCGTCTTTCCTTTTTTCTTTCTTTATCATCTACAAAAAGGAAGACTCACTTCCTGTATTTTCTCCCCATTTTTTCATTTTGAAATGCTTTGAACCTCAGAAAAGTAGCAAGAATGCTAAAATGAACATCATATCTCTAGCACCTAGATTCACCGGTTAAATTATTAAATTTTGTAACATTTGCTTTTTCTTTCATGTGTATATGTACATATATATTTGTATATATACACACATATACATACATAGACACATGAGAGAGATAAAGCAAATGTCACAAAATTTAGTAATTATATCCACATACACATATATATTTATACATTTGAATTTTTTGCAGTCATTTGATAGTAAATTTTTCACATAATGATCCTTAAGCATTTATCTCTTAAGAACACGGACATTTTCCTGTATAATCAAATGTAATCATGACACTTAATGACATTTAATATTGGTACAATAGTATTTTTTAATAGAAAATCTATATTCAATATTCCCCAATTGTTTCAACATTGCCTTTATATCTCTTATTCTTTTCTTTTCTTTTTGGATTCAGGATCCAGTCAAGGATCACACGTCCTTTTTAGTTGACAGTTCTCTTTGGTCTTTAAAAATATAGAATACTTCTCCAGCTTTTTTGTTTTCTCTTCATGTTATTTACATTTTAAAACATGTTCAAGACAGCTGTGTTGAGCAGGTCCTCCCTTCGGATTTACCTGGGTATTTACTCACGGCTGGCAGCAGAAGGAATGTACTTGGCAGAGGATGGAGTGCACGGTCAGTGCTGTGTCCTTCCCAGCGGGTCACATCAGGAGCCACCTGACGAGTGTATCATGGGGCTGACAACGTTAGTGGACCAGGCACCTTTTACCTGTGTAGTTAATACATGGTCTCTGGAGTCAGTCATCTTTTAAATGTATGCGGACTGTCTTTCTTTTGTAATTCAAACAAAATCCAACCTCCTTATCTTGGCTTACAAGGTTCTTTATCAGGATATTGTGTCATTTTGGAGGCTATGGAACCCTTTGGTATCTCATCTCAGAATAATGTTTTTAAATGCATAAAACAAAGTAGACAGGACTACACAGCAAACCAATTATATTGACATTCCCTTAACAAAATATTAAGAAAATATGACATGCACATGTATGTGTCAATTAGTGCAATAAATAGCAGGATCTAGAGGTGGTCTAATAACCATTAGAATTGTAAGTCGTGGTGAGTATGGATGATTTCTGCAACAACCCTAATGCGGCATAAAAACATCTGTGATTTCTAGCAGGTACAAAATCGCATACCACTGCTACTGCATTGCGCTTTAGTTAGAGGGTCATGAAAATAAAGGCAGAGTTTTCTCCCCCTATCCAGGCTGCCTGAAGTCTCAGCCCATGACCTCTTAACATCGCTCATATTCCTGAGAATGAAATGACAATTTTTCATGCTCCCAATCAGAAATTGTCATCTTTAATTTTCACCTTTTTTTCTTTTTTTGTTCTCCACGTCTAATAAAGCACCATCGCCTAGGTGTCCTACCTCCCGAATCTGTCCCCAGTCTTGCTGCTAACTATCTGATTCCATTTTTCTAGCGTCTCCCCTGGGTGCCAGTAGGGTGAGGCAGACACTGTTATCTCAGGCTCACAGATGAGGACTCTGAAGCACAGACACTTAACTTGTTGAAGGTCAACACAGGAGCCATGGTTTGAAACAGGAAGTTGCTCTGCAAGCCCTGGGGTCTTAGACTTCCTTAAAAATGGAAATCACATTCATTAGCTCTCCCAAAATGCCATGATTCTCATTGGTCCAGTTTTGCCACTGGATTATATTCAAAGGAAAAACTTCTAACATAAAATAATCAGAAACACCGGGGTTTATTTAGCAAACCAAACGTGTGTATCTACCTAGTTGTCTTAACATGTTCTTCTGTCATGCCTCTAGCTCTTATTCTCTGAAGTTGCCCCCCAAACTACATTCTCTCTACTCTCCAAGCTACTAAAAATATGTTTTCTGACACTTCGATCACTCCCTGTCCTTTCTGGGTTCTTTTGGGTTCTCGTCCTCAAATGCTCATTATCCAGAATGTGCATCATGAAGCAGAGCTTACAGATCGCTGACAAAGCTGGATCTTTTCCCCTGGAGGTGGGGGGATGTGGAGGAGGTTGGAGGAAGACTAAACACTCACATCTTTTCTTCTGATTACTTTTAAATCTTTGAAATTTATATTATAGCACCCATTGATTTAACTACACTAAAATTCACAATCCCATGGATAGCTTGATTAATTATTATACAACCTGGTTCAAAGTCAGAACCCCCAGAAAGCTTCTGTCCGCCCGCCCAGTCAGTACTGCTTCCCCCATCAGTCACCAACCCCCGTCATAATAGATTGATTTTGTGTGTACTCGGACTATGTAAATGGACTTTTATAGTATTTACTCGTTTGTCTGGCTTGCTCAACATTTTGTCCATGTAGCAGAACTTTGTTCTTTTTTGTTGTTGTCTAGTACTCATTGAATGAATACTCCAGAATGTATCCCCCGCACCCAGTGTGTGACTGTTAATGAACACAGCCGCTCTGAGCATTTGTGCGGGACCACTGTTCTCACTCATCTTGGGTATATTCTCTGAACTTACGTAGGCCGTGGGGTAATGTTTGTATAGCATTAGTGGATATTGGCAAAGAAAAACTTGATCTGTTCTTTTGTTTCTGTTCCATGCATCTGAATCTCTTGCACCTAGTACATTTTCTCTTTCTTGTTAAGCCCTTAATAAAGTGGGTTACTGCTGAAATGTGGATGTTCTGGCCAGTGTTCTCGCATTAATGAACACATGTATGGAAATGTATCAGTTGTTATACTATGCTCTCTGTCTTTATATAGATCATTGATCCCTTTGTTGAAGTTGAAATTATTGGATTGCCAGTAGATTGTTGTAAAGATCAAACCCGTGTGGTGGATGACAATGGTAAGATGATAATCTGTGCTTATTTTTAACCAGAATGCTCTCACAATAAAATCTGAAAAAGAAAACTGTCCATGTAGCAGAGAAGTTCCTAAAGTCCATAACTGCCATCTGAGTTTACATGAAGGTCTGGCCAGGACAGGAAACAAATATGTGTGGGATGATGCATGGGAGGCTTGGATGGGCATGGCGATCTAGGCTGTCGGACTTTTGCTTTCGAAGCAAAAATTTTTTTCTACTGAAAAGAATAAATGAGATTTTAACGGGCAGGGTTAAAAGTCCACTCAGAAAGATGCCTTCATTACATTTTTATATTGTATTTTCATTATGTGAGTTCTCAAAGCTTTCGTTCGCAAAGCCTATGTATTGATGATTTCTCATTTTTTCTGGAATATGTAAAACTTTGAAGTTTTACATAAAACTTATGTAATGTGAAGAAAGCTTTCCTGACCCAACCTTCGTGTCTTTTTCTTGGTAATCTTCTGAAATTGGGTTTGTTCATTCATCTGCCAACATTATTGCATACTCACTTTTTCTCAAAACATTTGAGAAATTGGAGATTCACCGAGAGACCCTAAGAGGAGTTTTTCTAAGCATTGGTTTAAGGAAAGGAATTTGGGGGTTCAGGAGCATCGTGAACTTCTTACTTAAATAATAAACTTAAAGCACACTTTCTATGTTGTATTTTCCTACCAATGTTCAATAGATTTTTTTTTCTCAGAAGTAATTGAGAGGTCATCACTAAGTCAACAAAAAGATAATTTATTCAGGAGTGGCATTTCATTGAATTTTAGTCCATAATTATTTCATTAGCTAAGGTGTCTAATGGGGTTAAATGCTGATGCCCCCTGAATTCATACATTTAATAAAAATTTATAGACTACTTAAATTTTTATCAGTTTAAATAATTATTTTATCTGAGAGAAACTTACTAAGAAATAAATATAGTTTTGCTTTTGGAATTTGAATTGAATTATAGACCTTTCTATTCATTTTCAGTAGCTATAAAGATATGTTATCTTTATGTATTAAGGTCTCGCTTCATGAGAAGTCACTGGAAGTCAATAGTGAATAATATAAGGCTAATAGTATAAGGCTATAATAATATTAGGCTATGTCACTAATTGTGTGACCTTAGGCACATTATTTTCTATGAACATCAATTTTCTCAACTATAAAATGATTTATAAATATTTATATTTCCTACTTTAAAAAATGGTCACATGTTACCTATGTAATTTTGAAAGTGATTAATATATGAATTTTTCTTAACTAGAACCCCCCCTAAAATTTGCCCCACTACCCTTAGAAGATTGCTTTAAGAATTAAATAGCATGATAGAGAAGCATTGAAATCTACACAGCAGCTTCCTTGTAAAATGGTTGCTGGTAATTATTACCACAGCAGAATCTTGGGTGAGTGAGAAGCATGGTTCTCTTAACTAGGTGGGGGGAGGGGATTATGCCACAATTCTTATATCCCTGCTATAGATACTTTTGACCTCATTGAAGCATTCTGAATATTGTGTGAAAAAGCTTTCTCTGCAGTGCAGTTTGGTATCAAAGATTATTACAGCTGATGTAATCATTTACAGGCAATTTTCTTACCAATTATGTTCTAGCAGTGGGGGGAACCCTGGGGCTTTATTTCAGGGAGATGTCCTGGAGTGGCTTGGTCGTCTGCATGCGTTTCATAAGCATTACAGCAATTTTCACTGTTTGCTTTGCACGTGTTATGGCCAATTCATTTTTAGCCAATCCTTTGCTTTTCTGATTTTTCTTTTCTTATTTCTTGGAGGATTTAACCCTGTGTGGGAAGAAACCCTGACATTTACAGTACACATGCCAGAACTAGCTCTGGTCCGGTTCCTTGTGTGGGATCATGATCCCATTGGACGAGACTTCGTTGGACAAAGGACTGTGACCTTCAGCAGCCTAGTCCCTGGTAGGTACAGGCTGGCCTGTTCTGTCTAGATGGACCATTCCATTTTCTGCGGGAGATTTAATATACAGTATATGGTATACACAATATATGACATACTAAATGCATTGTATGATAACATGAGGGTTAACATTCTTTGTGAAGTGTAAAGAAGTATAGTTAAGTAATATATTTAATTGACTTGCACCCATAGGAAAGACGAATGCAAGTTCAACTGACAGAAAACTGCTTTCTCTTCTTTTATCAGGCTACCGGCATGTCTATTTGGAAGGATTGACAGAAGCATCCTTATTTGTCCACATAACAATCAATGAAATCTATGGAAAGGTGAGAACGATTATAGGGCTTAAAGCCACGAGCAAAAATAACATGGTCTTAACCAAGCTATTTATTGAGTAATTGCACGAAAGGCGTGCGTACACCTTGACACGCTGTTCTTTAGCAGAAAACTCTAGGGAAGCCCAGTGAGCCCGGCGAGTGACCTTGCACTCAGGAGCCCATCCACACACCCTCCTTCTGCTGTTTTGGGGTGTGTGCTCACCCCTGCCACCCAGGTGGCCTCTCTGCGCTTGACAGAAAACTGTCCTCTCAGACGGTCATGTGTTTGGCCAAAACAATGAAGATATAGTTAAGTGTTGAATTTTATTTTAATTTTAAAAACTCCCTGCTGGCCGTGATGGGCAATGTAACGTCCCAGATGTTTCATGAATTACTCGTATTAACCAAGCTGTGGTCCCAGCCATTTCCAGGCAGGATGCACTCACTGGACGCCGTTGTTTTCAACTGAAAACCTAAAACTCAAGAATGAATTTAAAGCCACCCACAGGACTTAAAAGACCACAAAAATGCATTCTAGTTCTCTCCTGATGCTGCCCTCTTCGTTGGAGAGCTCACTTGAGGTTTACCGATCAATAGGCTTTCCTCTGGTCGTGCCAAGTAATTGGAGACTTGGCCACTGGAAGGAAGTTTTAGAGCCAGACGTGATTTACAGGGAGCGCTGCACAAGGCCCAGAAACATTCAGTATTCTTTCCCAGGAAGTCTGTGTAGTCTGGAGCCTCTCCTGCACAGGCATTTGCATTCTCTGTGTCTCAGCCTTCTCGTCTGCAAATGTGGAGTGAAAATAGTACCTCCCTCATAAATAAGTAAATATGTGTTATCCTGAGAAACCTGCGTTGCACATAATAAATGCTCAAAAATGTTGGGTACTACTACTATTCCCATGGCTACAAGGTGATTGCTAGGGAATGGATCAATTCAGCCTAAATTAGGGGTACATGTTTCTCACATCATTTGGGTGGGGGTGCCTAAGGATCCCAGTCTCTAAGAATGCTGAGGTTTTATTTTATGGTTTTATTGCTGGGGGAGCATTAGTACTGTGTCTGTGCTACTTGTTGAGATTTTTTTCCTCTGGCCTACAAACACACATGTAAATGATCAAAAAGTGATTCTTGAATTTCTAGGAATCTCAGGTTAACTAAGAAGTTCCTGTAGTATTTTTCAAATACTTGAGGGAAACAATAAAATTCAGAAGCTGTTTAAAACTTGACCCAGAAAGAAATTAAAATATGAAAAAGAAAGTGTTCCATAGTGTTTCTCTTTTGTCTCCTGAAGAAGTGTCCACTTATAAGCCCTATTATTTATTACTTTCAAGGTCTGCTTGGGTTGGGATGTGCACACCATGATGCAGGCCAGGTGGCCCTTAGGGAGGCTGTGAATGAACCTGAGGCTAAAACCACTGAAACTGGAAGGAAAGGGTTTACAAAAGCATATGATTTTTTTCTTTTATTTTCACCTGTACCACCTTCTTGAAATGCACCCAAACTGTGTTTTGTTTGTCTGTCTTTTTTCCCTTGCAGTGGAGCCCTTTAATACTCAACCCCAGTTACACTATATTGCACTTTCTAGGTGCTACAAAGGTAGTTTCTCAGCATGGTGCTTTGTTCTCGCTGGCGTATTTCATTTTAAATGGTTATGGCAGCATGCTTTCATATCACTCCATTTTCCTGCTCACCAGTTTGAAACGTGCATCTGTTGCTTTAAGGTGGCTGAAGTTCTAAACAGTCTATTAACTGCGGACACTTTTCCTACCACCTTGTCATCTCTGGGTGGGAAACTCCCGGAAAAGCCTGGCTGTAAAAATGGGGGCCTGCCGTCCTCACAGAGTCAGGCTGATAAGACATGCATGATGTTGTGCCAACATGCTGTGACCTGCTGTTTTCTTGGTATGAATACACTTCAATGGCTGAAAAAATTTATTTTCTATTCCATTTTTCATGGCGTTGTCACTTGAAAGGCAAGTTGTTGACACAGTGGCATTTGCTTACCTTGTGGTTGGTCCTTTTGCATCTTCAGAACAGACAGCTCCAGGGTCTGAAGGGACTGTTCAACAAGAATCCCAGGCACAGCTCTTCAGAAAACAGCTCTCACTACGTTCGGAAACGATCCATCGGAGACAGAATCCTGCGTCGCACAGCCAGTGCTCCAGCCAAAGGCAGGAAAAAGAGCAAAATGGGCCTCCAGGAAATGGTAGAGATAAAGGATTCTGTGTCCGAGGTTGCGAGAGACCAAGACGGTGTGGTGAGGAGGACCACGCGGAGTCTGCAAGTGCGCCCCGTCTCAATGCCCGTTGACAAGTGTTTTCTCGGGTCTTTGGCGCTGCCTGTGTCCGAAGCAGCAGAAGACACTGAAGGAAAAGAAAACTCTCCGGGTAAGACGCTTTAAGTTTCTCTAAAAAGAAACCCCTGTAAGCTGCATTTTGGTTTCTAGGTGTGATAATGTGGTTGGCATTTTATAGTCAAAGTAGGAGATACTGAAAAATAAATGTTTTAGGGTAATTTTGTTAGGCTAGATTTTAAACTTTGGGGGGAGGATGGTAGAAGAGCCATTTCACCTACTGCCTTACAATCACACTGACCTCTGAAAGGGACAGTGAGGGATGAGAGGCACCATCAGGTGTGACTGGGGCCCGTGGGTACTTAATTCGCACCTCATGAGGTGTGGCAGAGGGAGGGGCAGCCTGCAAAGTATGAGCAGAGAGCTTGGTTTTCTAAGTGGGTACCATATATTTGCTGATTATTCTCAGGTTCAATAGAATTACATTGATTTTTCTGAGGTTGAATATAGTTGTATTTTTCTCCCCAACACATAATCCATTTCTGTGACCGGAAATGTTTATGGAGAAAAAGGAAAAGCCAGATGTTGAAACAAGTCACCATCTTCCCTTGAGATACCTTTGCTTCCTTGAGACATAGCTCAGGAGATGTCTCCCTGTGGCCTCATTTCCCTGACCCCTGGGTGTGGCCAGGGATGCAGTGTGTCTGCGGCTGCTTTCTGGCTACAAGCTCCTCGAGCACACGGACCCGGTGCTAGCCAGCTTTCCCCCTAATTTGAACGTAATGCTTCACTCATATCAATAACTTGCTAAAGAGTGACACTTGCCTTACAATGTACCAAGCTCCTGACTTGTGTCAGTGAGTCCTGCTGCTGCTGCCTTGTTCTAGGTAATTTATCACCAGAACTGTGTCCATCTGAGGTCTCTGCAACAAGTATGTTTTAATTAGACCAAATCATCTCAGGCAAGTGGAATGTGATACATGTTTCTTTTAGGAATTTCTCCTTTTTTCATACAATCTAATTTCAATGATCTATTTTCTCACAACGCCCATTTTACTTGCATTAATTTTTATTTTAAGATATTCTACAGAGAGAAACAAATCTTTGAATTGTTTATTTGAATGAGAAAAGGGAGTTTAAAAGTCTGAAATTTTGCTGAGGAATATCAGAGAAGAGATGAAATATGTGATTCAAAATTTGTATCAGATTTCCGTTTTGGGGAAAATAAGGCTATATTTATAGAAATCAGTAATAATTCTGCTAATGCCAAACTTAACATGTTAATACCATTAAGGTGAGTTAGACAGCATTATTGAGGTGATGTCCTCCATTTAAACAAACAATCACATGAGTTAGTCGTTCATAGATGTACATGGGTGTGTGAAAACTGTGGCGGATGTGGAACAATACATTGCCATGGGGTGATTCAAATATTAAAGCTGAGAGAGTGCTGAATACAAAATTCTATACACAGTTCTGTTCCCCTATAAAAACTCACAATGTCTATCTTTGAGTGATGACATACGGTATTTAATTTTCTTCTTTATAATGTTTGAGTTTATCAAATTGTTTTTAAATTAGGAAAATATTTAAGTTAAACAAATTATTCTATTAAAAGAATCTGATCAAGAATACTTGAACACCTATTATTATCTTAGCACTGTACTAAGTAAGCATGATGGAGTGCCCCAAATTGCTGTGACTTCTGTGTTTTTATAATTTTCCTTACTGCACCTGATATTTTACTGCCTCTTTGAGAGGAGAATGCAATATGAAATATGTGTATTAAAACCCAAAAATTTGATTGACAGAAATTAGATATTCAAAATAATATAGAATTAGTGACCAATTCTTCATTTTAAAGTCAGCATATATTGATATTTTAATATATTTTTGCACCATCCATTTTGTTTTAGAAATAAATGAAATTAGATGTGTTGCCAAAATGTTTTTTTAATAATATAATTTGTGTTTTTTACTAATATATGCTTACCTTTGAAAGCTTATAGTGTCTTGCTTACAGGTACTACAATGCTTTGTTTAACAGAGCTGTCTTGTTCTGTTTTTATTGCCACGCTTCTGTGTAGTACAAATCTGACTAGGAAACAACTTAAGGTAATCCTCACTGTAAAAGTATGGTAACTCATGACATTTTTTAAATAACGAATATTACATCCTTAACTGATGTAATAGCTATTCAAAGGGAAATGTCAGTGAAATTCCTATGAATATATTTCACCATTTATTCATCATACAGATACTTTGTTGCAAATCTATACAACCCATAATTATCTTCCGTCACAATGTAACAGACTTACATTCTCCATTTGTCTGTCTGAAGACAAACATGAGTGTTTGCAGCACCTACAAAAAGTGCAGCATGTCACCTAATACGTTGTTTGTTTCGTTTAGCAGAAGACAAGGATGGCAGCAGAGATGGGAAGGCAAGTATAAAAGACCAACATTTTCCAATGTTCAACAAAAAGTTGTCCACTTCCTCCAGCGCTCTTCTCCACAAAGACATCAGCCAAGGGGACTCTGCTGTTTCTACTGCCCCCACGCCAATCACAGAACCATTGGGAGTGCCAGGGTCTAAGGGTGGGAGGACCAAGTCATCTGTGTTAGGTGATGGCCAGGAACACCACTGTCCAGACAAATCCCTCTCCCTAAGGCAGCATTTGGCTCTTAATCCTACAGTTCACCTAACACAAGGTCTGTGTGGTGTGAAAACCAAGGAAAATGGAAATGCTGGGGGCTTTGTGGAAGGGAAAAGCTCATTGTCAGGAAGCATTCTTTCTCAAAGCAATCTGGAGATTAAGAAGCTGGAAGGCAATTGGGGTAAAGGTAGAGCTGCAATATCCTTTTCACTGTCAGATGTCTCTACGCTGTCTACTGACATACCTGAGTTACATTCTACCGCGATTCTGCAGGAGACTGACATTTCCCATCTTATTGACAATGTCACTTTAACCAATGAGAATGAACTGGGCAGTTCCATCTCAGCACTGATTGGCCAGGTTGATGAGACCAGGAATCAGGCTGACCTGACAGTGGTTTCTCATCTTCATAGTACCAGTGTGATGTCAGGCCATCCTCCCTTGCCCACTGTGGACCTAAAAATGCCTTTCAAGCATGGCTTTTCCAAGGGAAAACCCAAGTCTTCCCTGCTGTGCTCATCTCCTGGGCAAGTTTCAGTCTCAAGTCCTCAGACCTCTGAATGTTCAACATGCACAGTTGTTTGTGCAACTACCCATACTTCTAATGTCTCTAAAACCAAACTAGATGACGACCCGTCTGGTAAGGCCAAGGCAGGGGCCGTAGAAAGCAACCTGCCTCTTTCCTTTAGTGCTTCTCACTGCTGGTTACCCAAAAGTCCCACCAATGGGAAAGACTGGGAAACACTCAAGAACCACAGCCCTGCCTCGTCCACTGACTTGACACTGGGAGATGTGATAGCTGGTCCCACTCTCTGTTTAATTTCTGGGGAGAGCAGTCTCGTAGAAATGGATGGGGACTCAGAAAACCTGTCTATAACCACCTATGAATACAGGCGAGAAGGCACGAGTCACCTTGCTTCTCCTTTAAAACTGAAGTACAGTCAGGATGTGGTGGAACATTTTCAAAGAGGCTTGAGAAATGGCTACTGTAAAGAGACTCTCCACCCTCCTGTCTCTGAAGTATTCAACAATATTCAAGATGTCAAAAATCAAAGTATTTCTCATCTAGCCTATCAGGGTGCTGCTTTTATGCACAAGCACTTCTCAAGTTCAGATGCAAAAATGAACCAGACCTGCGTGCCCCCATCTAGTGCTCAAGACTTGCATGCCCCTGCACCCAAGCAGTCCCCACACCCTCCTCTGCCTGTTCTGAAGCTGCCCAGTCCCTGCAAATCCAAAAGTCTGGGGGACTTAACATCAGAGGACATTGCCTGCAATTTTGAAAGCAAGTACCAGTGTATCAGTAAGAGTTTTGTTACAACTGGCGTCAGAGACAGGAAGGGTGCGACTGTGAAGACAAAGTCATTAGAACCCATGGATGCCCTGACTGAGCAGCTGCGGAAGCTTGTGTCCTTTGACCAGGAAGACAGCTGCCAAGTGCTGTATTCGAAGCAGGATGCCAATCAATTCCCCAGAGCACTGGTCCGAAAGTTGTCATCCAGAAGTCAGAGCAGAGTGCGCAATATTGCCAGTCGTGCCAAGGAAAAGCAGGAAGCCAGCAAGCAAAAAGGTGTGAACCCCACCCACGTGGGTGGAGTGATTCTTCGAAACAAACCCTCAGCGCCCCCTCCCACAGGGAACCGGCACTCCACCGGCTCCTACATAGCCGGGTACCTGCGGAGCACCAAGGGCAGCGCAGCGGAGGGCCGGGGCGTCCCGGAGGGCGCATGTGCAGCCCTGCACGCCGGCCACGCTGACCAGTTTTGCTCAGATAATTCTGTTTTGCAGACAGAGCCCAGCAGCGATGATAAACCAGAAATTTATTTTCTTCTGAGACTGTGAATTACATGAAGCTGCATTTTCAATGTTTACAAGGTATTCTGTAGAATTGTCAGAGTTTTAGTAAATCCTTGGCTTTGAAATGATTTTAAAATGTATTTTTAAACTTGTATTTTGGTCTCCCTTCGACTCCATGAGTTCTTTCTGTTTATGCGTTTATATACAGATTTGGGCAACATTTCCCATGTACCAATGCTCTTTCTCCCCTGTGCTGTAAACTCTCTCGGTGTGGAATATGTGCATGCCCTAGACGTGAAACTTCTCAGCAGCCCGGGTTACCATGTGCGTATGTTTCACCCAGATGCTCTTCCGCGCGGAGTCCTCAGTTCACTGTCACAAATGTAGTCATTTTCACTCTCACTCGAGTTACCGAAGAGTCTTTGCAAAGGACAAAGGGATGAATTCTTGATTTTAAAGCCATTATCATCTTCCTTATTTTTCTTTCTTTGTTGAGAAGCCCAGATGCATTTTAATAACTCAGTTAAAACATGATTAAAATTATTACCTTAAAATTTCTCTTCCTCAACCAGAATAAGAGTTGGAAGGAGATGGGTAGGTGCTCCCCACAGACTCTCATTTTACAGAAGGCTGTGAGGGCATGAGGGACAGAGCAAACTTCTGTATAGGAGGGCAAAATTGTTTGTTTTACATACATTTGTAACCTATTTTTGCTAATGGCTTTGTATGTAACAAGAACACAGTTGCCGAGCTGTGCGCTGTGCTTCTGCATTTCATGGTTAAATTATAGACTGCAAATAATGGCTCGCAGAAAGAGAGACTTCCATCAGATGCTAACGATAGCAGCAGGAAATGAAAACCCCCCATCCCCCCAAAGCTTTTAAGAAAAAAAAACTTTCTCATAATAAAACCCAAGTGAATAGATAATTAGAAGAAACCCTTTTCCTTCAGGGAGCCAAGTAACTATATTTTAGTACAACATACATTATTTTCACTGTGAACCCGTTTTTGTATCGCATGTTCACACGTCCCTCTTTGCTTTTTTGTAACATTAACTGCAATGATGTTCTGGGAATTCATGAAAATATAATTAAAGCAGATTTTTAAACACTTGCTGACTGTTTTTTTTTAAAATTGAAGTTCACATGGCAACTGCTGAGAAAGCATATGGAAATATTTTCCTTTTCATTTCTCTGCAGCAGAATAGATATGTTGTACAGGGGATGGTTTTAACCCTGTGTAAGTTGAGGCTGATTTGAGAGATACAAACAAACTCTTTTCTTAGACGGCGATTTATGTCTCTGAGTGTTTTCATTATGCTTTAAAGACCGTATTTGTAAGGTGACTTGAAAAGAAATCAAATATAATGAGTTTCTTTGCATTTGATATTGATATTGCTAGTTTAAAAATATTCCTTCCCAAATCCTGCCCTGGGAGACGGGGGGATGGGGGCAAGGGGGGATGGGGAAAGGCAGGCGATATGCTATGTCTGTCTGGCAGATCAGACCACCTGAAATTTGTTGTGTCAGGGTAGTTGTCCTTCAATTCTTGGATATTCTGTGGGGTTTTCAAAAAAATTTTTGTTCTCGTTGCTTTTCAGTTTTGGAACTCTCTATTGGAAATTTCTATCTATCTCCTTAAGCTCAGAGATTGTTTCCTCAGTTGTATCCAGTCTTCTAATGAGCCCTTTAAAGGAGTTTTGATTTTTTTAACAAAGATTTATACTTATTTTTAGAGAGAGGGGAAGGGAAGGAGAAAGAGAGGGAGAGAAACATCAATGTGTGATTGCTTCTCACATGCTCTCTACTGGGGATCTGGCCTGCAAACCAGGCATTTGTCCTGACTGGGAATCGAACTGGTGTCCCCCTGGTTTGCAGGCCGGTGCTCAATCCACTAAGCCACACCAGCCAGGGCGAGTTTTGATTTTTAGTATTTCTTTTTCAGTTTTTTCTCAAAATTTTTCTCTCTCTGCTTACATGTTCTGTTTTTGCACATTGTCTACTTTTTCCATTGAAGCCCTTGGCATGTTAATCATAATTTTTTCAAATTCCTGTTCTGATAATTCCAACATTTTCCCATATCTACCTGACTCTGGCTCTGTTGCTTGTTCATATATCATCAAACAGTATTGGTTGCTTTTTAGTATGCCTAGTAAATTTTGGTTGAAAGGTGACCCTGATATAGTGGGTCAAAAGAACTGCAGTGATGCAATGTAGCATGTGTGAGTTGAGGGAAAAGCATTCCATAGTACTATGAAGAAGTTTTTATTTTTTGGTGAGTCCATGTCCCTGGACTATAAACTTCACTGGTACTTCTCAGTATTCTCCCTTCCCCCCTTTAAGTGGGTCAAGATGGTTAGATGGGGCTGAAGCTGGCACTTTTTTTCCCCCAAGCTGGTTAGGCTCTGATGACCCCAGGAGGCAAAGTTCTGGTGAAATAGTTTCTCTTAGGGCAGGGCTTGTTAAGAACAGAACTTTCTGGCATATTTCAACATGGTTCCTTTTCTCCTTTGCCCACTGGGAGCTTGAGGGGTTTCCCTCCATATTCAGTGTGAGGACCTGGCAGAGCTTCAGAAGTAAACTCAGAAACACGTGGGGGCCCCTACGACTGGGCCATCCTGGAGTTTTTAAGTCTTAGGTTGTCCATGCTGAGCCTCCCTCCAGTAACACATCAATTACAGCTCAGGTCTTCCTACTCCGGCACCGGTTTCTGTGGCGGTGGCTGTTCATGGCTTTCTGCTTTGGTAAGTTGTGACTTCCCTATTTCCCTGTGTGTCGCTCCAGTCTGGGCAGCAGCAGTTTGCCCTGTGACCTCAATTCCATGACAGATCTGAAAAGAGCTGTTGATTTTTCAGTTTGTTCATTTTATAATTGTTTGGTGACTTCTAAGCTCCTAATATGTCCGACTGGAAAGAGTCCTGAATCACACACTTAAAAAAAACAAAACCCACCTAAAATATCTGACATCTTATCTCACTATTACAGAAAAAGTACCTACAGCAAACTCTAACATGCTAACATTTTATGGGGGTGGGGGGCGGATGAATGTATTCCTAGGGAAGCAAGAATGTAGGTAAAGGGAATTGAGGCAGGAAAAGGAAAGAAAATTCAAGAGGATGAGCTAATCAGATGGCTGTGCCTTCACAACACAGCCAGCCAGATGTTACGATTTGTAGGGTGTCTCCAGAGAAGTCACACGGAAATACCACATCTCAGAGCAGTCCCTTGTAGAGGAGGAGGAAGGGTGACAAATAGATCTTCTGCTTTCCTTCTTGTGTGCTTTCTTTTAGTGGTGAAGTCCACCCCTATAAAACATTAACTTCCTCTATGTCCGGGCCCCATAGATGATGTGGTATGCAGCCCCTCCAGGCAGCTCCTGGGCAACCAGAGCCTCTGTCCTGCAGTGTAGCTGTCTCTCCACATCATCTGGGGCACTGGACAGTGGCAGTGCTGGGACTTGAACACCATGGCAATATTTCAAATAGCTGGAAGCATTGCAAATGGTTGCTACCTGGGTGGAATACGGGTAGATGGGGGATGGTTGATCTCCGGTGATGCGATAACTGGCTTTCCTATCTATATCCTGCACCAGATCTTGTATGAGACCAAGAAGCTTTCCCTGCTTCTTAAAGAAGGAGGTGCAAGGCCAATCCTTCCAAGTAGTAGTCAGCTTCAATCCCCTAAGATTTGAAGAGGATTAGCAAACCAAGTGATAGTTATCACTGCTGCAGCGGCTCCCAGGGTCACAGCTGGCATTTATCAACTCCCTCGTCTGTCACCCATTCTAGTTTCTCTCACTGTTAGCATGTCAGCTGCTCTAGGTTGCTCACCTGGTACATGGACACCGTCCCTTGTCCTGGTCTGCATGAACCCTGGGTTGTTTTCCTTTGTGAGGCAATAGTTGCTGTGGGCTTCCATTTACGACTATATCACAGAATTGCCCAGGGGTGCCTCGGTGAGTCCTGTTCTCCAGATGTACTCGTATTTGTCCCCATTGTGTAGCAACAACCCTGTTTCTCATGATGACTGGCGTCCATTAAACCGTCAGTATAGTAATTCTTTTCTTGCTTATCCACTGGCGTGCCGAGCTCAAAATAGTTCAATTCCAGTTCAGTAAAATCCATAACATGTTCTCTAGGGAGCCGCGTTCCCCTGGCCATCAGGATCTCCAACCCAGTAGACACAAGGTTGCAGGGACAGAAAATACAAATTTGGCAACTGGGTCACTGAGAGTGAGGGTAAGAGAGGCTGAGCCTAGTTTGACCCCTCGGTTTCTGGAGCCCCAGCTCTTGTATCCATGTGTAGGGTCCGAGCCTGCCACTCAGAAAACAGGACATCCTACTTACCTGGTTGTTGAGCACCGCCTGTGGCTATGCCTACATTTTCAGAGTCACTCCTGAGAGAGACTGTATTGTGAGAGTGATTCATATCTATAGAACCCCAGTAAAGCATTACAGGTACAACCCAGACATGTACCTGCAACTGTCTGAATTAGGTTCAAGATTTTTACTTCTCCATCATTGGTTATAAGGAACTTCCCATGAGGCCATAGGTGTGAGCTGCAGGAGTGGCACCTGTCATATGAGGCCAACATGTCATTTTTCACATCTTCTGGACTACTCGAGTCTTTTCTTAAAAAAAAAAAAGATTTTATTTATTTATTTTTAGAGAGGGAAGGGAGGGAGAGAGAGAGAGAAACATCAATGTGCAGTTGCTGGGGGTCATGGCCTGCAACCCAGGCGTGTACCCTGCCTGGGAATCGAACCTGCGACACTTTGGTTCGCAGCCCACGCTCAATCCACTGAGCTACGCCAGCCAGGGCTGAGTCTTTTCTTAAATATACCATTTCCATAACAATAGTTTGTTTCTATGCCTCTCCATCTTTTTGTGGGAGCTTGCATTAACACCAGCTCATGATTGGCAGCTCCAATGGCAGTTACTTGGTGTACTCTCGTCAGGAGCTCAGGCTTTACTTTGAGGGGGTGTCCCTTCATGTTCCAGACCACTGGACCCCTAAACATTTCACTGATGTTTCAGTCTCCATAGTCATCAAGGGCTTACCACCTACCCTCTGACATTCATATGTTTTATGAAGGCATTCAAATTACTTGACCCATTCTTATTAGGTCTAATTAGTGAAATGTCAATCAGTGTAGAAGTCCAGAATAATGTACTGTGGAACAGCAAGGTGATTGATATCACTGCAGAATAGACCATGACACAGTGGGAAAATTAACTGCCGTCCCTGCAATATAAAGGTGAACTGCTTTTGGTGCTCTTTGTTTGGTGGGTTTTGCGTGTCTTCATTGTAATACTCTCTTTCCCCCCCCGAGCCTTTTGACTCCTTCCTCATTACTCTGCCAAGTGAATTCCAGCAATCCACCTCAACTTACTGAGCTATTGTGAATGCAGGCTTTAAGGAGCGATCCCACCTAACTTAGAACTGGGAGACATTAATTTTATTGGGACATTATTAAGACCCGCTAGACATAGATTCCAAGTTGTGGATTAGTTGTTCTTTTGAATGAATTCTCCCTCATGGCCTTAATTTTCAGTTCCCTCATCTAACATCCTCAAGATCTTCCCCTACTGATGCTTCTCTGGTTTGTTCTTGATACATTGATATCTAGTCACACCACCTGCCTTCAAGCTATCTATGGCTCTCACAGGCTGCTTTAAAATGACAATTAGCTGCCATGAGCCTACCAAGGGTTTCAGTACCACCATAAGTAGCCAGCCACGGCAGCAGGCTTATAGTTATCACTACCCTTGTAATGATCAGTTGTAGTAGCAACTTGCTATCCGAAGGCTTACCCTAAACTTTCACCTTATCCCAGTTAACCACAAGGAAAAACGTTGGTAATTCTGATGCCAGAGCTTGCCAGCCACTGGTCCTCCCCCACTTCTGCCACCACTTGCCTCAGGCCGTCTCTCTTAGAGAAGACAATCAGGGGTAATACAGTCCCAGGGAAGCAAGAGTACCGGGTAAAGGAAAAAGAGGTGGGTCAGGGGAGAGATCCCTCTTGGTCATGAAAATTTGAGATTCATTCCTATTAGACACCCATTTGCAGAGGTCAAGTCGACAGTGTGGAGTGTCAGGTAGAGGTCAGG